TGTCTCTTTATGAATCATTGAAACCTCGCAAATTTCATGATATTATTTTGTTAACCATCATTTGAAGAACTTGTTGATTCTCCTCCCCTCTTTGTTCTCCCTTCCTTGGACCATCATAATTAACAGTTGTGATCAGCCTCCTCAATTTCCTTGACCCCTCTACTCCCTGTCTCCCCTTCAACAGGGTCATCAATTTCTCCTCCCTTTTTTTCATTTGCCTTCTCTACTCTATTTCACAAAATAAAGTCATTCTGTTTTCATTCAGCCAATCGAAAGAGACTCCCACCAAGCCGCTTAGTCTCTGGACGTTCTCCAACACTACTGGGAAATCCCGTCAAACCCCAAATCCTCCACCAAACCGCTACCTTCCTCCACAACCAGTTCAACAGAGGCCTAAAGCACTAGGTCACATTTTGGAAAGGCCCAAAATAATGTGTGCCTTACGCCTTTTGATCGAGAATTCAAAATTTGAATTTCCTAAGTTTAGGACTAGATTCAGGCTTCTTCTCAACTCGGTTTCCTCCCCTCTCTGGCAGTTTCACAATCTTGGCAAAGGAAGCTCCACTCTCTAATTCCAGCCTCAGTTTCAGCTCAGCCTTGCAACTTGGGCACCATACCATCTCCAATGGATAATTGAACACAGGAGTTGCCACTATTCTGGTTCTTTATCTCCTTATCACCCTTCTCCTCCCTTTCGGGCACCAACATTCTAATTCCAGCGACCTCATGCGTGGCCAACATAATATTCCACCAACCTCCTGAAGACACCCCCAAAACTCTCTGAGAAAGGCCAAGTACCAGCCTCTATTATTTCGGCCGAACACTATCCACAATGAACATCACGATCCCACCTACTCCGACCCCAAGTTTTACCCACCTTTCACCAAAAAAAATTCTTGAAGCACCTTAATGGCCACTCATCCTCTTCGCCAAAGAAAATGGAGGTCCAAAAACCCCTACCATTTTCTAAAACTTTTATCACATCGTGCTCGACACCCTCTCTGAGAATGTAAAATGTTTTTTGCTCAATAGTTAGAAAACGTCTGTTTCCAATTGGCATCTCTACTTTTCTTAGCATCACCATTCAGCATAAACGACGCTCCTAACCCCCCCCCCCCCTCTGATGTCACAAACTTTCTTTTGCCAACCCTAATTTTTCCACAACACCACAACCACCACTTCCCTCTTAGTCAAGAAGCGTTGTCCTTCAACTCAACCAGCTCTCCACCACCTCCTAACCACCGCATAGTCGCCTCATGACCACCTCTAAGGACACCCTATCTCTCACCTCATAGTCAAGAAGTGTCGATTAAATGATTGGAATCATTTTGCATATGATAGGTCAAGAAGCCTCAGTTAAATGATCGATCAAGAAGCCTCTCTCACCACCTCTTGGCGAAATCTTTCTCATATAACAATGCCAATGGGTTATGGATAGTAAATTTTTTCAAAAGAGCTTTTGTAAACCATCAAACCACAAAAAGTCACAAAGATTCCACAATCCTATTCATCTAGGACAAAAAGACCTTTCAACAAAATATTCAAGTTTTGGAACTAATCTTCTCTAATTTTATCAAAGGGAGAGCATTTTCTTTAAATAAATCAAAGGGAGAGCATATGCCCTTAAGAATTCCCCTCTTTCCTATCTCCAAATTATTTGAAAAACAACTGCCTAGAAAAGTATCTTTCTAAGTTTCTAGCACCTTAAACCATGCCACATTGAAAGCTCCACAGCTACCGCAACCCATGAAAGATTTGAGGATAGAAAAGGTAGAACCCAACAAACCTCCTAGCATCCATTCACCAAAGGAGAAGATGATTGGGAGGATTCCCCCTCCCAAAAACACAAAGCGCAGCAATTAACAATCAACCCCTCTTTCTTAAATTTTCCATAGTTATGATCCTAGCCCAAGCCGCTTCCCAAACAGAAACAATATGTTGCACAACAACTTAAGGCAAAACAGAAACAAATTCCTTCTCTTTACAAGAAGAAACAAATTTCCTTGGCAAACTGATTCTAACAAAAAGAAAAACAATCACATACCCAACTTTCATCACTGATCAAGAGTTCCTCTGAAAAGAAAATACACTGTGCTAACCTGAAGAAGTGAGAGGTCCCGTAGTATCTCAATATTATCTGGATCTATTCTCAGCGCATTACGGTAGCACTTAATTGCCTCCCTGTACTCTCTATCTGAACGGTAAAGGAGACCAAATACGTGCCAGCAAACATGACTTTTGACATCATTCTGTGAGAGGACCCAAATATAAGTCTCACATTATTATCAGTTAAATTGACAAATCAATAACATTTTTGGGTAAAAAGAATATCTGAACCTTCACACCCAGCCGTACAAGCTCATAAGCTTCAGATTTGCGGTCCATGCAATTTAATGTCAGCCCTTTCATCGATAAAGTTTCTGCAAATCCATAAAGGGAACAAATTCACAACATTAGAAATATGACAATATAAGATGGATGACAATGATACGTACAATATAACAAAATAAGTGAAGATGGACATATTCATGCATAATAGATTGACCAATTAATGAACCTAAAGTAAATGACTGGGAAATAGGAGATATCTACAAAAGCTACAAATCCAAAAGTTCAACTGAAAAAACAAAAAAAAAAGTGTATCTACAAGAAAGAACAATTTCTTCGGTTTCTAGAAGTCATAGAATCCGCTACAAATGTTACAAACATTTCAATAAGTCATAGAATCCGCTTTTGTATAGGGGTGGTATCCCCGATTGTTCGGTACCATTAATAGTATTTCACACTTTCTATTTCACAAAACGAAGAAAGTCATAGAATCCGCTACTATATTACAAACATTTCAATACTACTTCTCTTCACTAGAAATACTGATCCTAACACAATCACATCAAAATCTCAGTACTAACTAGACCTCTTTTATCAGACAACCAGCAGCATCTGCAAGAACTATAATGTCTAGTTCAAAGCCAGATTTTCCAGCATAAATCAAGGTAAAAGTACATATAAAGTGTTTCATGGTATTCTATTCAACTTTAATTTTTGGGTGGGTATTTCTAAACCATCCCCGCCCACTAGAAATTATAACAAGAATATCAACATTTCAAATGCAACAAGTGGAACGTTAATTATTTCAGCACAGAATCTTTCACTAAATGATCTAGGGCTGATTATATAATTATCATATAATAATTAGATAAGGAAACTTTTATTTTAAAACAATTAGAAAAAATGTTACGTAAGGAACATTTCCACATAACACTAATTGTTCTTAAGCTTGTACTATACAGCAGCCAAAATTGTAAGCAAAAAAGATTAGCAACTGCAGGGACAGCAAATTACCCCCATGATCAGGAAACTTTTTCAGTATTGCATCTGCTGCCTTCAGTCCCTTCTTGTACTGCTTAGTTTCATAAGATTTCTGCAATTTGACAAACAGACAATATAGAATCTTACTAGTATCCAGCAATAAACAGTGTTGAAGACAAGTAGATGAATTTTATAATCATTCTAGCATATAGTAATTTTACAAAGTTAATTACAAGACCACAGGTTCAAATAGATAAACCATAAAAGTGCATCCATTTTTAAATATGTCCATTTTCTAGATTACTGATCAGAGAAAGAGGCCAATTTAGTTTAATGGAATATATATGCATAAAAAGTAGCTCAAGAAGCACCTGTTAAGAGAGAATCAAGATGTAGCTACTGATTCATAACTAAGAAATACTTGGGAGGGGAAAAAGCTCTTGAATTATCTTTTGAAATGATATATGTTGTAGAAACAAAGAAAAAGCTCTTGAATTATTCCACGACAGAAATCTGACAAAAGATCTTCCCAGAGCTCAGAGAATTACTAAATCAGGTTTAGCTAAATAAAACAAGGGCAATATGTGAAAATGCGCAAACAACCACATTCTAACAAACTATCCTGGAAAAGACACTACAAACTCTCCGAGAATCCTACACAGAACATCATAGATTATGCATCTGTCAAGTAAAATTATGAAGATTATGCTTCACATTATTGCCACCAAAGAGCACCAGTTAAGAAATGTTATCCAACAATTCCCAGGAAACTGAAGCCATCTTCAAGCACTCCACTTCTTTTCCTAGATCTCATCCCCCTCCATCAGACAAGTGTAGTAAACAGGAATAGAGAGAAATAGGGCAAGTGATCAACTGCTTAAAAATCCTAATTCAGCCGTAATTGCCAGTATGCAGACACTCAAAAACACTAGAATTCATCAAACATTAAATAGAAAATTTCCATTCCGATAATCCATTTGTTCACTGTAACTAAGAAAGAAAATGATGAAATCAAACTATAAGACGAACAAGTTCCACCCATTTCACTCTGGACTCCCAAGTCTTGTCCATTTAACTAACTACAAAATTACGTTTTTCAAAGAAAAAAAAAAAACACTATCTCACAACATTACATGTATCTAGTTAAACCGAACTGAATCCACCAGAAATTGCAAAAGTCGCAGACTGAAATCAATTTTCGAATTAAAATCATCTAAATCGTTATGATTGCACAAAAAAAATTCATCTTCCGGCAATCAAAACCCCAGAAAACTCAACCACTAATATGCTTTAAAGACAAGACCAGTTAAACCAGCACAAATGCTCCAAGCCTCTCTTTCCTCTATCATCAATTAAAGCAACCGAGTAACACATAGAATGACACTCATTAGGGTTTTACAAAGAGGAGAATATTAAACTCTGATCCCATATGATTTATAGTAATCAGCTTAACATCGATACACATGTACATATAGAAAATGAGAGCATAGAGAAAGAATCGGAGCATACTACGATGAGCTTGAAGAGGTTGGCCTCTTTGGGAGGCAGTGAAGCTCCCATTGCTGCCCACGAAGAAAAACAGAAGACGAAAAGCAGAGACTGAAAGGATTCAGAGAAGAGAAAAGCGTGAGATAGAGCTTAAGATAGATGAAGTATGGGGTTTACTTGGAAGACAGAGAGAGAGCGCGAGAGAGAAGAGAGAGTGGTGGCGTTTATCTGCTGCAACCCTACTGTGAAAAAGAAGCAAAATAGAAATTTGAGATTTTTTTTTTTTTTTAATCTTTTTTTGGAAACAAACAAAAACTTTTTCCTCAATAAAAAAATAAATAAAACAAGACAAAAAAAAAAGGAAATATAAAATGTCACGGTGGGCATTTTTGTAATTTTATATGGTTTTGTTCTTATAAGGTGCAATTTTGTTTTATGATAAGTGAGAGAAAATTGAGGGGGTAAAAGAAAAATAAAATAAAATATTCAATATTTTAAGTAAAAATTTATATACATTATTAATTATGTGACATATATCCATAATCAACTATCAATAATATTATAATATTTTAATAATGATACATATGATACAAAATCCATAATTCGATTGCACAAATTTATATAAATTATGTAATGTCTAACATTTTAATTTAATTAATTGTGTAACTCTTATAACCCTACTTAATTTATTTTTTTTACTAGTTGATAATTAATAACATTAAATTTGATGTTATTAGTGTCTCGCAATAATATCAATAAAAACTATATGATATAATATTATTTCCCTTTCTTTCTTTTAGTGTGAGTGAAAACAATATACATGGCACACTTCATTATATTTTAATATTTGTCAAACACTTAATAATTAATAAAAAAAAATTTAGATATTATAAAATCTAAATTTTTAAATGTTAAAAAATACGTAGAATATAATTTTAAATTTTTAACTATAACTAATCGTTAATTAAATTAATGATAGCATATTGATTTACAGTTAATCACATCAAATGATATTTTATATTTTAATTTTTAATCAAAATTTAATATATATCAAATTATTTGTGGTCGTGTTTTTATAATAATGCATATTCATAAGTTTTAAATTTATATATTATTTATATTTATTGAATATATTAAGAGAGAAAATTTATTGAAGAAGACAAAATTTGCATTTTATTTTTTTATTTATCGTAACTCACAATTTTATGATACTATTTGGAGGTATATTTTTTTTTTCATCTCTATTTACTTATTTGACAAAATTAAGTCCCTATAGATTTTTTTTTGCATCCTTTGTCTTATAAAGATATTTTAAAGTAAATTTATTGCACAATTCTTAAAATTTAATGTTAATTTTAATAATTTATTTTTATAACTACTATATAATGGGTTATATTATATTAAATGTTCTAGCAAATAAAAGTTTATATTTCAGTTTAGATATTTAATAAACAGTTAAAAATATATTAAGACAGTGTAAAAAATTTGAAAAATAGTTTTGAAGGCATGTAAAAATAAATTATAATGTGTTTATAGTTTTCACTATTTTTAACAAATAATTGGCTCTCACTTTATGAGACTTTTATACGTTTTGCTTATTTTAACTAAGATATATCATATACCGTATCTATGATCGATTTACTTTTTATTTCTACATTTTATAATCTAAATTAATTTGTACTATCGAAATTGGTTTAATTAGTATTAGTGCTTAAATTATTCTCTTTAACACCGGAATCTAATATAAATATTAAGACTTAAAAGCTTATGTTAATATTAGTTAATCATTCATGCGAGATAACCATATTTTGTGTAACATTCTCTCCACCTATTTCCTTGTTAAGTTATCAAAATATACTTGCTTTCTTAAATCCTTAATTAACAGTTTAATCAAGCCTAAAATTAGGTTATCTTGACTCACAAATTAAATCTGACATCTTAATTTATTTAAACAATCTAAAGAACCAAAGTTAATTAGCTCACAATACATTAATTAACCCTTAAGATTTTATCTAAAACCCAAAATAATTAGTTAAACATTTTAACTACTTAAATTTGTATTCCAATTTAAGTAGATAATAATAATAATAATAATAATTATATCCTATTTTTGTATAGCTCTTGATCAAAATGTTTAGTTTAATATGTTAAATTTTGGTAATCTCATTA